TTTGAAGAGCATAGGTGTTTGATTTTTAGAAGATCCCAGTTATCTAGCTTATCTGTTGGGGTTTGTGCGTTGATGGTTATGGTTTGTATCCTGTTAATGCCATGTATTAAGTCCTGAAGTGTTGGTCCTACTTTTTCTTCTATGAACTTTATAGTTTTAGGCTTTATATTCAGGTCTTCGATCCATTTTGAAGTAGTTTTTGTATACGGTGTGAGGTATGGGTTCAGTAAGTATTTTTTGAGTGCCTGATATTTACCAGGCACTCTTGGAAGTATTGGAGGTAAAGTAGTGATAAAACTGACACAAAATTCCTCTACTACTTTTATTCCAGGCCAAGAGACAATAAACAAAATAAAAAATAAAATGGATGTTATGTGAGATGGTGGTAAATGTGATGGAGAAAAATAAAGCAGGGAATGGAGCTTGTGTGTTTGGGGATTGTTACAATTTAGATGGGGTGGAGGCCTCGATGAGAAGGCGTTATTGAGTAAAGATGTAAAGGAAGTGAGGAAACAAATAGTTTGGTCACTTAGGGAAAGAGCAGTCCCACAAAAAACAGCCAAGTATGTAAGTGCTGAGGTGGGAGTAGGCCTAGTGTGTTTGAGTTACAAAAAGGAGGCCGTGTGCCCACAGTGGAAGTGAGGGAGAAGAAATAGACCTGTTTTCTTTCTCTCTGCCGTTTTTAAACAGAGATCTTTTTAAATCCAAGCTGATCTTACATTAACTGTGTGTGTGTGTGTGTGTGTGTGTGTGTGTGTGTATTTTAGTCTCTAGGGAAAGAATACACTGTAGGTGGCATATATGTTAATTATTTTGCAAACAAAATTAACTAACTCAAATGATGTTTTTTAAAAGTTTAAATTATGCCATTTGTTTATGGGAAGGGATATTTCTACCTAATATCTTCTTGCTTGATTGTCGACGTTCAGAGTGAGTCTATTAAAATGAAGGCCAGCCCCTAGTCCCATTTACTTAGCTCCAACTCCCCTTCTTTTTCTTCTGCTTCAACTCCCCTTCAGCCCCACTGGCGTTCTCAGGATTCCTCTAATACTCCAGGCACATTTCTGCCTCAGGCCTTCAGTTTATGGTGTCTTCTAGCCTGGAACACTTCCCAGGTGTGCACATGGCTCACCTCCCCTCCTTACTTTTGCTGTTAAGTCACCTTTGTCATGATGTCTGCCCTGAACACCCTTTAAAAAATTAACACTGCCTCCTGTACTCCCATTTCCCCTTCCATACTCTATTTTTCCCCCCAGTACTTACCATCTTCTAACATGTTGTGTAATTTAGTTATTTATTATGTGGTTTTTTTGGTCAGTTTCTTCCAGCTAGAAGGCAGACTCCATGAGGTCAGGGCTTCTGTCTTTTTTGTTCGCAGATACAGTCTAACTGTCCAACATCGGCCTGGCACAGGTCAGTGAATATTTGTGGAATGAATCAGTGCATTGTGTGTGTGTTGCGTTTATTTCATAGGTACAGGTATGTGTGTGGTATATGATTTGTTTTATAGTAGCAGGAAATTTGTTCAGAGCAGTTACCACGCCAACCATACTTGGAAGAACATTTAAACAGTAGTCTCTCTTCAGCTTGTGATTGATCATTGTGCTTTCGTTATTTCAGACCTTCAGCTGTCTAGACTGTTAACCCTAAGAACTTGTCTAGACTGTTAACCCTACTAACTTCTCTTGCACTAGCAAAAATGCCTACCTTCAAGTTTGAGCTTGGCCTGGTTAAATATCATATTTGCTTTTCCCAAAAGTTCATTTTACCCACGTATAGCTGGTTCTTCCAGTGTTATATCTCTGTGAGTGAATATTTAGAAGATCCATTTGGATACTGTTAAAGGACTCAAATAACTTTAAATTCAGAATCTTCTTCAGTCTTAATGTAATATTGACGTATTTATTATTTTGAATTTCATTGTAAGTTTGATTCATTGACCCTCACTATCATAGTTCTATTTACTAGCTTTGTAACCTGCAACAGGTGACTCAATCTCTCTGGGCTTACTTGTTCATCTGTACAGTGGGGTTCATCGTACCGCCTAACCCACAGGGTTACTGTGAGCATGAATGAGATGATCGAAGTAAGGTGTTTAGTCCCTTAATAAGTTTTCAATGATGTTATCTCAATGATGATGACACAGTTGCTACTGATGCTGGCTGCTAAGAGTGGAAAAACTGGTAGAGGCTTTTGCTTCACATTGAAGCTGGAAAAGTTTAGGTAGGGGTTGAGCAGATCTTACTTCCTTTGACATGATAGGAATCCTGGTTACTCACGAAGTAGTTCCAAAGAACCACCTTTATATACAACTGTATACAATTCAAAAATTTAAAAGACACCTAAAGTGATTATGAACATATTGATTCATATTCATAGATAGTAAGGTGTAATGATCGCAAACACCTGCACAAGAATGAATAAGATTTCTTTTAGGCTAGATCAATCATATATGTATTCTGATTTATTCATTTTCATAGCCTGATAGTGTAGCAGTTCTTTATATGAGTGTAGCAGCTTATTTATTTTCCTGTTGATAGATTGTTTTCAACTTTTTGTTGTCTTTCTTTTGTCCATGTTAAAATTTTTCTATAAAGTTAATAACTAGGAGACAAATTTTTGGGTTGTGAGTTACACGCCTGCTTTACTAGATATCCCCAAATTGTTTACAAAAGACTTTGTAACAATTTACACTCCTGATGGCAGTATATAGAGATCCAGGTGCCCTCTATCTTTATTAATATTTGGCATTATTAGATTTTTAAGTTTGTGAAATAGTGTCTCATTAGGATTTTAATTTGTATTCCTCTGATCAGAATGGGCATCTTTTCATATATTTAAAGGACCTTCATCTTTCCTGTTCTTTCAATTACCTGTTTGCGTCTTTACCTGATTTTGTATTTGGTTGCCATTTTCTTATGTAGTTTTAGAAGTTCTTTGTAAACTGTGGATACTAGTATTTTGTCACTTTTTGAAACAAATATTAAGGAGATTGGAACTTCCTCTTCTGGATGTTTCTTCTCCAGCCAGACTTTGTGCTTTTCTAGTTGCTTCTGTGCCCAGGTTATACACCTAAAGCTCCACAGGAGCGCATGCTCAAAGTTTTAAATTTACCAAGATTTCCTCTCCTGGTTATTGCTTGAAATGATACTATATTTTCAAATAAATCAGAGGTCATTTAGTGTACATCTCCCTTTGTAGTAAAAAATGAGGCCAGTAGATGTGAGTATTAAAGGCAGAGCTGGAAATAGAACTCTGCCTGTCTGGTATTTTTGCTGGTAAACGGAGATTATGAAGAACTGGTAGATTAGCCCTAAAACTGACAACACTGTATAGCTTAAAAATTTCTCACTTTTGTACTTATTCCATCAAACAGAAGGAACTAAACTGATAGATAATGAACACAAACTAACCAGCCAACCAACCAACAGAACACCCATTGAAACCAAAAGAATACCAGTTATATGAAGACAGATTTTGTCTTAATATAAGGAAGGACTTTCTTAAAATTAAGGCTGGTCAAAATGGGCCACATTATCTCATAAAATTGTGAACTTCTTTTCACTGCTAGTATTCATGCAGAGTATGAATGACTACTAACAATCATAGACTATTAGGCTTATTTAAGCCATTCTTTTTATAGGTGAGGAAACTAGGTCTGGATGTCTCAGCCATGGCAGTTTGAAGCTGATGTAGGATAAAAAACAAACAAACCCATTGCTGTTGAGTTGATTCCGACTCATAGCGACCCTATAGGACAGAGTAGAACTGCCCCATAGGGTTTCCAAGGAGCGACTGGTAGATTCAAACCACTGACCTTTAGGTTAGCAGGCGAGCTCTTAACCACTGCACTACTTCATTTAGGCCAGTGTGGCTTCTAGTTTGTTACATTTATTGTCTTCCGGGAGTGGGGTGGTGGAGGTACATGAGAGGATTCCTGCATTAGGCAGGAAGAGTTAGATGACAACCTCTCAGGTATTTTCCAATTCTGCTTCTAGGTATTTTGATTCTGACTGTACTTTGATCCCATCTTAGATTCCCCATTATTACTTTTATAACATTTGTCACAAATATTATAACATTTATTAACATGACACTCTCCAGGGCATTGACAGTGTCCTGTGTATTTATTTCCATCCATAGCTCCTGGCCAGAGTAGGTACTTAATAAATATTTTGCTGTATAAGTAGATGCCTGTAATAGGTAACAGGAAAGAAAAAAAAAGAAGCAGCAGCAGAAATGGCAAGAGTGAGAAAGAATAGAACCTTTACAGAAAAATGTTACTTCGGAGATTCTGAGAGTAGATAAAGTATAAGAAAAGAGCCATAAAAACAAATGAGGTTATATATGAAAGTAATTGCCTTCAAATGCTATTGCTACCAAAATTTAGGCATTGTAAGAGGTTGGCAGTTTGAATCCACCAGCCATTCCTTGGAAACCCTATGGGGCAGTTCTGCTTTGTCCTGTAGGGTCGCTATGAGTCGGAATCAACTCGATGGCAATGGGTTTGGTGTTTTGGTTTCTCCTGTTATCACATCAGAAGAAACGAGGAAAGATGGAAGCAACAGTTTAGGTAGGCAGTGGAAACAAGGGCACAGATGATGGGAACATCAGAACTGAAACTTTAAATGTGAACGTGAACTTAGACACTGACTAAATTTGGAAAATGTCTGGAAGTGTTTGGAGTATGTCTGGAAATACCACCCACTTTCAGATGTGATTATACAGATAAATGAGAGACAGAAGAGAGGAAATACTGTAAAATCTGATTCAATTACTGTGATGTTTAAGGATGTACTAGCGTGTTGGCCTTCCTTATGTAATTTCTGAGGTTTTTTTTTTTTTTTTTTGGATTATGGCTATCTGTGAAGCTTTATGGTTTTATGGAAAGATTAAGATAAATTATAGTGAGTACTAACCTATATTTCTGTTTTTTATTTTGTTTAGACTTGGGAAGATCCCCATCAAAAAGATAAGGGCACAGACTGCTGTGGAGATAACGATCCTATTGATGTTTGTGAAATAGGCTCAAAGGTTTGTTTTATTTACTATGTTAATTCTTACATGTGTTCCTGTTTATTCATGCCATAAACTTGCAGTTCTTCTCTGCAGGCACCAGTTCTTCAACTCTTCAAAATTCTAGCCCTCTAATATCAGTCCCTTCTTGAATCTTTACTTCCTTCTCTTAAACCAGGCGTTGGCAAGCTACAGCGTGTGGGCCAAATCCAGCCCACCACTTTTGTAAATAAAGTTTTATTGGAAGACAGCTGTGCCCATTCAGTTACATATTGTCTATGACTGCCACAACAGCAGAGCTGAGTAGTCATAGCAGAGATCTTAGGGTTCACAAAGCCTAGAATATTTACTGTGTGCCCCTTTATAGAAAAAGTTTGTAGACTTCTGTCTTCAATTCTCTTGTCCATTATCCAGGCAGAAACTTCAGTAGTGAAGAAAGCTAGTTGGCATTCTTTTTTGTACCCGCATCCAGGCTGCCATGTCCTACTGGGGAAAAACAAACCCCACAAACCCACACAATTCTTCTGTGTGTCCTTAGTCCTTTCTCCTGTTTTCTCCTGCTTCTATTGCTGATATTTCTTGTTCTCTGCACATGTTCAACTCTTGCTACTTTCTTCTTGTTCTCAGCAGAAAATCTTGTCCTTAATTTTGTAGAGTCTCTTGTACAGGAGTCGCTATGAGTTGGAATGGACTTGACAGCACATAACAACAAGAGAAACCAACAGATAAGAACTCCCTCACCTGTCCTCCTCATACTGTACCTGCAAATATTATTTCTTCCCTTTGTTCTATTACTGTGAGTGTTGTCTTTCTTATCTAAGACCAGGGCTTCCTGTGCTCTAGATTGTGTCCCGTCCTGCCTCTTGAGTAACGATATTTTCTTATCACTTCTCTTTCCTGTATTTACCACTTATCTTTCTTTACTGGCTTCCTCCCATATGCCTCCTCTCTTCTTCCCCTTCACATGAAGACTCAAAAAGTTTTCAACACTCATCTCTATTTCCTACTTTCCACTTAATCTTCTTACTTTGGTAGAGGGTCAGTGAAAAAGAGGAAGACCTCTTGACACAGTGGCTGCAACAATAGACTCAGACATAACAATGATTGTAAGGATGGCACAGGACCAGACAGTGTTTTGTTCTTTTGTACGTAGGGGTCACCATGAGCTGGAACCCACTTGATGTCACCTAACAACAACAACTTAATCTTCTACCCATTGCAAAATTGTTTCCATCCTCATTATTTCAATGAAACTACTCTCATTGAGGTTAGTGGTATCTTTTCTTTTAGCCAAATCCAATAGGCCGGTTTATAGGCTTTGTCTAACTTGAATTTACCTTAGCATTGTGTACTTTTAACCTCATCTTCCCTCTTGAAACGATCTGTTTGCTTGACTTTCATTATATCTTGATATTTTGGATTTTCTCTTATCATTCTGGTTCCTTCTCCTTGGTTTCTTTTGCCAACTCCTTTTCTTCTGCCTACCCAATAACTATTGATTAACTTAAGGGTTGTACCCTTGCCCCTCTCCTTTTCTCCCCCTATAGGGACTCCCTTGGTGATCCAATCTCAAGAATTCATGATTTTGCTCCCAAATTGATATCTTCTGCTCAGACCCATACACTCAACTGCCTACATCTACACTTGGTTGTCACCCAGGCGATTCAAACTCAGCGTGTCCAAAACTGAATTCATTATTTCCACCCCTCTAAATATATTTAGTTTCAGTGAATGACATCTCTCCTCTTCCCTGGATTCTTAAGCCAGAAATCCAGGAGTTATTCTTGATTCTTCTTTGCTTTTCCTCATCTGTTAATCATAAAGTACTCATTCTGTGTCCTAAATAGCCTTTAAATCTGCCTACTTCTTTCCATTCTCACTGCTACTAGCCTAGTCTGGTCCACTGTTATTTCTCACTAGTATTATTACTGCAGCTAACCAGTTTCCTTGCTGAGTATTGTTTTCCCTACCATCGCTTATTTCAAACTCTTTTCCTGCTTTACTCTTTCAGGACCTGGTTCCTACCTCTTTTTCTGACTTCTCTTGCACACTACCTTCTAGCGCTACTCTTTCAATTCCTGTAGTACATCTTGCTCTTGTCTAGGCCTTTGCACAAACTGTCCCTTCTGTGTAGAATAGATTTTTCTTCCGCCTTCTCTTTACTTTTCTCTTTCATTTCACTTCTCCTTACTCATCCTTTGGATCTCAGCTAAAATATCACTTTCTCTGGAATGCTTTCTTTGATCCTTTGTAGACCAAAATAATCGCCATAGTATTAACTATGCTTTGTTGTTTGTTAATTGTCTTCTCTTTGAGATGACAGCTCTGTGAGGATAAGACTTCACTCACCATTGTAACTATTAATAGTGCTTAACTCGGTGCCTGACACATTTAATAAAAAAAAAAAAAAGCTGTTGAGTTGATTTCGACTCATGGCAACCTTGTGTGTTATAGAACAGAACTGAGCTTCATAGGGTTTTCTTGGCTGTAATTTTTACAGAAGCAGATCGCCAGGCCTTTCTTCTGCAGTGCCGCTGGATGGGTTTGAACCACCAACCTTTAGGTCAGTAGTTGAGCACAAACTGTTTGCGTCACCCAGGGACCTTGCCTGACATGTAGCATATTCTTAATTTAAGAAATACCAGATTGAATTATTGAGTTATATTCTTCTAGTTTAGATTAAGTCATTTATGCCTGGAAGCTCACATTAGCACTTACAGACTTCTAGAATATTATTTACTAAATAGTTACTGCTGACTGTTCATCAGTTTATTTACCATATTGTTTTGTGGCTTTACTGTCTTTTTCTTCTTCCTCATTCTCCCTTCTTATTTTTCCTCCTTTTCTTCTTCATCCTCTTGTATCTTTTACTTTCTTCCTTTTGCTTTTTTTCCCCGGGTCTTCCTCTTCCTTCATCTTTTCTTCTCCCTTCTATTCTTCTTCTCCCCAGGATTCCTCCTCCCCTCCTTCCCTTATTTCTCCCTCCTTGTTACTCCTTTTCTGCAGGTGGGAGATCTCCATTCAAACTTGTATTTCTAGTTTTTAACATTCAAATTGGGGTTAGAATTATTTTTGTGTATGTGTGTGAGATTCCATAATTCCTGTCTCTCTCCAGCCAAATTGTTAGCTTTTTTCCAAATTTAAGCTGTAGCTTACAAATTTAGTTTTGGACATTTTCTCTCCAGAGGATAGTAAAGTTGTATGTAAAATGAATGGATCAGGAGGAAAAATCAAACCCGGTGCCGTTGAATTGATTCCAACTCATAGCAACCCAATAGCACGGAGTAGAACTGGCCCATAGGGTTTCCAAGGAGCGCCCGGTGGATTTGAACTGCGGATCTTTTGGTCAGCAGCTGTAGCCCTTAACCACTACCCACCAGGGTGAAGCATATAGATATTTTAATGAGTACCTCCTGTGTTTTAGATGCTGTGCTAGGTACTTTAAGTAGGTACTTTCCCATGTCTTATTTCATGATAAGTAAGGGTTACTAAATTAAATAACATTACATTGATGGAAAGATTATATATTAGAAAACTTTTATTCTGAGGAAGTATTCCCTGGGGCCATTCAGTTCATATTTAGTTCAAGTTATTAAGTTAATTTAAACCCTTATGCAAGTATTAGGTGTGAATAAAAATACTGAATGGAAGCATCTTATTTTCAACCATGTGAAAATTTGTCAGTGAGCATGTCATTAATGAAACTGGTAACTGAAAGAACTCATATGAAAATGTATGTACCTGATAAATTGATTTGACTTAGTAACACTACTTTGTTACTGACAAAACAAATGGATCACCCTAAGAAAACTTAATATATCGATTTTTAAATAAACCTGCCAAAGTATGCAGAATAACATTAAAGGCTTTAAATATAAGTGATTTTTAATATGGTGTATATAATCAAATAATAATCTCGAAAGCATTTTTGCCTGGTACGTGGAAAGGTTGGTGCGTAGTAGATGCTTATTATCTAATTACTGACAAATATATTGACTATTATTTTATGTGTAAATGTATTAATTATAAATGGGCTGATGAGTATTCTTCCGGTTTAATGTAGACCATAATATCATAAGGTATAGGAAAAATTCCTATGGACCAAGAGTAGGAAAGACATCCTAGAATCATAGAATTATTACAAGTCATATGAAAGGAAAAATGAATTTCTAGGCACTACAATTGTCAGGAAGTAAAATATTGCTAGTTTATTCTAGAACTCACCATTTTGTAGATCTGGTTACTATTTAAACCTGTGTTGTTGTTAGGTGCTGTCAGGTCGACTCCAACTCATAGTAACCTTATGTAAAATGTTATACAGTCCTAATAATCACTAAAAGCAAATGATCACTAAAATGTAATTTTTTTTTCCTTCCATGGGAACAGATTTCTTATTTTTGCCTGGTTCTGTTTTTATCTTTGACTGAAATTCCTTCTTTTTAGGGATTTTATTTATGTTTTCTTCAGTGTTCTTTATTGTACAAGAAAAAAATTACTTTTTTTTATTGTGCTTTAAGTGAAAGTTTACAGTTCAAGTTGGTTTCTCATACAAAAATTTATACACACATTGTTATGTGACCCTAGTTGCTCTCCCTGTAATGTGACAGCACACTTTCTACCCCGGATTTCCCATGTCCATTCAACCAGCTCCTGTCCCTTTTTGCCTTCTCATCTCACCTCCAAACAGGAACTGCCCATTTAGTCTGATTATCTACTTGAGCAAAGAAGCACTCTCTTCACGAGTATCATTTTATGTCATATCCAGTCTAATCTTTGTCTGAAGAGTTCGCTTCAGAAATGGTTTCAGTTCTGGGCTAACAGAGAGTCTGGAGGCCATGTCTTCTGGGGTCCCACCAGTCTCAGTCAGACCATTAAGTCTGGTCTTTTTACTAGAATTTGTGTTCTATACCCCACTTTTCTCCTGCTCCATCAGGGACTCTCTGTTGTGTTCCATGCCAGGGCAGTCATTTGTGGTAGCCAGACACCATTTAGTTCTTCTGGTCTCAGGCTGATGGAGT